AGCTTACCATGTGCCAGGCACATGATTGAGGAACTGGGGATTACGTCTTGGGCAGGAACAAACAATAAATAATAAATAAGTTTTTAAAAATCTGTGGTTTAAGCCACCCCTTCTGTGATTCTTTGCTAGGGCAGCCTGAGCAAACAAACATGGGAAGATTCCTGGAACCGCCACCACAGTCAAGACGAGAACTGTCTCGTCGCCACAAAGTTCCTCCCTTGCTATTCCTCATCATCTTCCTGTCCCCAACCCTGAAGCTACGAATCTGTCCTCCATCTCTACAATTTTACCATTTCCAGGGTGTTATAAATATGGAGTCATGCATATATGACCGTTTGAGATTGACTTTTTTTTCCCTTTTTTCCCTGTGTCTAAGGTTTTTCAACCAGTAGCTTCTTTCAATCGTTTGTTCCCTTTTTTTAGATTTTATTTATTTATTTGACAGAGAGAGAAAGAGAAAGAGAACAGGTAGGCAGAGCTGCTGGCAGAAGGAGAGGAGAAGCAGGCTCCCCGCTGAGCAGGGAGCCCAACATGGGGCTCGATTCCAGGACCCCAGGATCTTGATCTGAGCTGAAGGCAGATGCTTAACCGACTGAGCCACCCAGGCGCCCCTCATTTGTTCCTTTTGATTGCTGAGTAGTACCCCATGGGGGTAGATGTACCTGCTTGGGCTTTTAAAAGATAGCATGCACAGAGAAAGAGAGCCAAACAGTGAGAGAGGAAGCAGGGAGCATGCACAGGAAGTGGGGTGGTGCATGGTCTGGCGGGGGTGGTGGTGAGGAGAAGTGGTTTGGGTGTATTTTGAAGGGGAATTGCTCATGGGTTGGTTGTGGGGTGGTAGAGAAGAGAGGAGCAAAAGATGACTCCAAGGATTTTGGCTTCAGCAGCTGGGCAGATGTGGTGCTATTTGCTAAGATGGGCTGGGTGGAGGAGAAGCCTACGGGGTATAGTTAGTCATAAGTTCTGTTTCAGGCAGGCTCGGTCCAAGATGCCTATTAGACATCCAAACAGAGATGCTGCCTAAACGGTCGGCTATGAGTCTCAAGTTCAGAGGTGAGTTTGAGAGATGTAAATTTTGGAGTCATCAGTGTATAAATGTTCTCTCCTGAAAATATCCAGCATCTGGATATCCAGTAAGAACAGTTACTATGAGGGGCGCCTGGGTGGCTCAGTTGGTTAGGCAACTGCCTTCAGCTCAGGTCATGATCCTGGAGTCCCTGGATCGAGTCCCGCATCGGGCTCCCTGCTCAGCGGGGGGTCTGCTTCTCCCTCTGACCCTCCCCTCTCTCATGCTCTCTCTATCTCATTCTCTCTCTCAAATAAATAAATAAAATCTTTAAAAGAAAAAAAAGAACAGTTACTATGTGCCAGGTACTATTCTAAATGTTTTATAGGTACAATGAGCATGATCCTACGTGGAAGAAAACAAAAAGAATGATCCTAGGTAATAGGGATTACTATTTTCCCCATCTTATAGTTAAAGAAACTAAGGCACAGAGAACTTGAGACTTGTCCAAGAACACATAGCGATAAAACCAGGATTGAACCCAGACAAGCTGACTTCAGAGCCCTGCTTTTAATCACTAAATATACTGCCTCTCAATGACACTAATAATTATCACATCATTAGTTACAATTAGTAACATCATCAGGGTGGTAATAATGGGACAGCCGCTACATTTTGAGCAAGTGCATGTGTTCTAATCCTCAAACCAACTCTCGAAGGAAGCAGAGGAAGAAATGGAGGCTCAGAGGGAGCGACTGATTTGGTCAAGGTCTCACAGATAGTAGGTGCCAGAATCAGGACTTGAATCCAGTACCTGTGCCTTTTCCACCTTGATGTCCCTTGGGAAAAAGGTCGGGACAGGACAGGAGAGGGGCCAGGGGAGAAGTCTGAACGTAGAAAGAACAGGCAGCCCGTGAGCCACTCACCAAGGGGCCAGGGTTAGGGAACACGTTGATATAGTCCAGGATCGTGCTTCTCCGTGTGGCCCTGGGCCTCGGCGGAGTCCCCGCCTGGGTCTGTTTCTTCTTCAGAGTCTTCCTGCGAGGGAAACAACTCACCTGTGTGCGCGCCCTGGCACCTCCCCTGTCCCCAGCCCCAGATCCCACACACCGTTGCTCTGGCTCCTAACTCACATGACCAGGAGGAGGCAGAGGAAAAGGAGGGTCATGATGCCAATTCCCAGAAATGTTCCATTGGTGAATGCTTTTGAGACGAGTCCTTTATCTGCACAAGGAAATAGGCAGCCATCTCTGAGCCTCTCCCATTAACCGGGGGCCTCACACCCACCTGCCACTGAGTACTCAGTCTTGCAGCTCCCGTCCCAGACGTTTTATCGGCAACCCGTTCTGTCCCAGTCTTGGAAACCCTGCTGCACCCCAGACCCAGGTGACAGGCCTTCCAATTTGCATTTCCCTCTGCATCTCCGGCCACAGGGGCCCTGTGCTCTTTCCCAGTTCCTGCTCCAACCACAGGACCCTGGCCCCTGCGCCACTCAGCTACCTCCGGGGGGCATCGAGTTGGCCCCCTAACCTGGCAGCAGCAGGAAGGCGGCGCTCTGGGACCCGTGGGCGTTCCGGGCCTCGCAGCTGAGTCTGAGGCCAGAGCCCAGCGGCCCGCTGAGGCTCAGGGAGCTGTTGGCCCAGGGCCCCGCCGAGCTGGAGGTGATGGTCCAGGAGGCGTTGCTGTGGTTCCCCTCCAGCAGCCCCTCCCCCAGCCGCCAGCGCAGGGTGGGGGCCGGCTGGGCTCGGGAGGAACAGCTGCAGTGCAGCCCCTCGCCCTCCCAGGAGCAGGAGGGGCTGAGCAGCCGCGGGGGGTCTGCGGGAGGGAGGCGAAGGGTCAGCGGTGTCTCTCCTGCCCAGGCCCCGGGCAGCCTGCCCCCAGGGGTCCCCACACTCACAGACCACAGAGAGATGCAGGGAGACGTGCTGGGAGCCCAGCAGGTTCTGAGCTTGGCAGGTGAGGTCTCCTTCATGCTCCATTTGTATCTGAGGGAGCTCCAGGATCCCAGGGTCTGTGGGCTGGGAGGGGCTCAGAGTCTGTCCCCCCAGGACCCAGCTCAACCGCGCTGGGGGGTTGCTGTGGGTGACACAGAGCAGACGCAAGCTTTGGCCCTCCAGGACTGGGAGGGATGTGCCATTCCCGAGGTTTTCCAGGACTAGGGGAGGGAAGAGGCAGGACAGATGCTCAGCTGAGGGCACAGGGACCCTTTTGCATGTCAACATTCCAGACACTGAGGCCCCCAATATGGCCCCGAGAGGCCCTGGTTTCGCTGTTCTTCTTCCTACCTGTCCTATTTGCATGCAGGGTCATCACTCTCAGATTCTCTGGGGCATCTGAAACAGAGACAGGGTTCTGGCTCTAGACAGGCCAGGGGCTGCCCTTTGGGCAGAGAACCGTCCTTGGAGACCAAGACGGCAGGACAGGGAAGGGGAATTGAATCATCCGCTGACTGATTCTCCGCTGAGTGGCCCAAGGGAATTGACAGGTAGGAAGGGCTGGTCTCTGTGATTTATAATAAGAAATATCTATTTGGTCTCTGTCCCGTTCCTGGTACAGAGTTCCTAAAACCCTTGGAATTTCCTACAGGATGAGAGCCAATAAAGATGTCTTGATATTAATAACAAACCCCTTTCCACCACACCTGGGTTTATGTAAATGAGGCGACTTTTGGAAAGCACCTTGGGATGGGGGCTGGTTGCCAGGGGCACCAACCTTGTGACTTGAGCCTTGGGGACTTCAGCCCCACCCCTGACTTCCAGGAAGGGGAGAGAGGCTAGAGGTGGAATCAGCCAGCCATGGCCAGTCATTTACTCAATCATGCCTTTGTACTGAAACCTCCATAAAAACCCAAAAGAAAGGGGTTCGGAGAGCTTCCAGGTTGGTGAGCACGTGGAGGTGCAGGGACCAGGGCACACCTGGAGAGCGGCGTGGAAGCTGAGCGCCCTCGCCCCATACCTGGCCCTACGCCTCTCTTCCACCTGCTGTTCCTGAGTTACATCCTTCTCTAATAGCCTGAGACCTAGTAAGTAAAATGTTCCTGAGTTCTGTGAGCTACTTTATCAATCACATTAATTAAATCCAAGGAGGGGGTCATGGGAAACTCCAATCTATAGCCAGTTGGTCAGCCTGGTCTTGTGACTGGCCTCTGAAGAGGGGGGAGGGTCTCGTGGGACTGAGCCCTTCACCTGTGGGTCTGATGTTACCTCCAGGCAGACAGTGTTTGGTGGAGTTGAATCCTAGAAAGCCTAGCCGGCATCGGAGGATTGCTTGGTGGTGTGGGGGTGGGGTGTCGGGGGGAACCCACATCGGAGTTGGAATCGGAATTGTCAGCCGGGGATGCCCCCATCCCCGGCTTCCCTCACCCCTCTCCCTTTCTGGAAACCGGGCCCCGCCCAGTGGTACTCACACTGCACAGAGAGGTCCAGGGTGCGGCTCTGGGAGCCAAGCCTGTTCTCGGCTCGGCAGGTATAGCAGCCCGAATCCCCAGGCTTTACCCCCGGCAGCACCAGCTCGAGGGTTCCGGAGCCCTGGGGGTGGGACCTCGACAGGACCCTGTCCTCCAGGGCCCAGCTCAGTGTGGCAGGGGGCTGGCTGTCTGCAGCACAGAGCAGTCGCAGGAACTGGCCTTTCTCAGCCTCTAGATGGGGGCTGTGTGCGGGGGGCTCCAGGGCTGGAAGCAGCAAGAGAAAGGCTGCAGGGAGGAACGCCATCTCCCTCGCCCTCCTAACACCAGTTGTCCCCCAGAGAGGACCAGCCGACCCTCCCAGGCCCTCAGTACCTGACGTGTTGGCACGGGAAACGCTGATAACCAGGTCTTTGGGGGCATCTGCAACAAGATTGAGACCTGACTCTGGGCAGGAAGGTGGGGCTCCTCACAGAGAGAACGCTCCCCGGCAGGGGGAAAGAAAGTGTGACCACCCTCAGGACACAAGTGACAAACAAGGGCTGAGGCGGCGTGGTGGGTCTCCACACCGGCCTCTCTGGACCCCCCACCAGCTGCATCTCTCCACCTACACATCCTCTGTGCCTGTCTGCACGCTCTGACACCCCACCACCAGACTCACAGGCGACATTAAGTCGGATGGTTCTCTCTGTGCTCACACCCTTCCTGGAGAAGTCTACGCGGCAGGTGAGGTGGGTGCCATGGTCCTGGGGTCTCGGCGTGAGAGTAAGCGCCGAGAAGTAGGAGGACGTTGGTCTGGGTCCTGGGGCGGAGACGGCGGCCCCCAGCCAGGAGAAAGTAGGGGCTGGACATTCCTCAAAGGTCCAGTTAAACACACAGATGAGTGTCACCTGGTGTCCTGGCTCCAGGATCTCTGGGGCGTAGACATCTGGCTGCTTTGTCAGGGCTGGGACAGAGAGAGGGCTCAATGGGAGCCCTGGAAGGGAGTGCTGCAGGGGGAGACCCCTGCTCTGTTCCCACAGTCCCCTCTTCCCAGTGGGGGGGGGCGGAGGATGGCAGGGAGGAGGAGAGGCCCCACTCCCATTCCCCCTGGAGTCAGTTCCGCACCTGTCACTTGCAGATAGAACTGGTTTTTCAGAAAACTGTATTGCACGTAACGGCCTCTCTCCACCCGAAAGAAGTACGGCGCCGAGTCCTCCACCAGGGCCTCTCTGATCAGCAGGGAACAATTTCGGTTCTGGGGATCACCAACGAGCTGGAATCGATCCTGGGGCACAGTCCGCACTGCCCGATTCTGGTCGTTTGTGGCCACTGGTCTTCCGACGCTCGAGTCTGTCCCGGCTCGGAACCAGTAGCCAAGAGCGGGGGTATCCTCCGTCCAGCCTCGCGGGGGGTAGGAGAGGGTGCAGGGCACACGCACACACAGGCCCTCCTGCACCATCACCACCCTCTGCACTTGCAGCGAGAATCCTAGGTCCTGAGCCGGGGACCCTGAGGGAGACAGAGGTTCAAGCTACAACGCCCAGCCCCCGCCCCCTCCCAGGCCCCTTCCAGCCCTTGGCCCACTCACCGCCCCACAGCAGGGCCAAGAGTATCAGCAGGAGCATCTTTGCACGAGGAGGCACTTGGACCTGCCCCCAGACGCTGGGACGGGCAATGGGCAGGGCAGAGAAGAAGCACCCAGCAGAGAAAGCTGAGTCCCAGGCGCCTGATGCGTGAAATGTGCTCCTGATTCTGAGCCCCACACGACACTCCCCGTCCTCACCACTCCCCACCCCACCTCATCCACTAGAACTCTGGGTCTTCCCTGGGGGGCCTGCCTGGTGCTTGAGGATTGCAGAGCTGGTCCTTTTGGCAGTCACCTCCCCGGGGAGGGAGTGGAAGGCTTGTGAGGCCGTGGGGCCCGGGGGGGTGGAGGGTAGGGGCTCTCCCACTGGGCCCTGGGTCACTGAGGAAGCAGAAGTGAAAGTACACAGTGAACCGTTCTTCAGACAGGGGCCCCTGTGGACGGTGGTTGGTGCAGAGGTGGATTTTGGGGGTGGGGAAAGGGCTGGTCTTGAAATTCAGAATGTCCAGTTAAAGTTGACTTTCTTTTTTTTTAATTTTTAAAAAAGATTTTATTTATTTGAGAGATAGCATGAGAGAGAAAGAGAGAGAGAGAGGATGAGCCGAGGGGAAGGGCAGAGGGGGAAGGAGAAGAAGACTCCCCGCTGAGCAGGGAGCCTGACCCAAGCTGGATCCCAGGACCAGAGATCATGACCTGAGGCAAAGGCAGACACTTAACCAAGTGCGCCACCCAGGCGCCCCTAAGTTTACTGTCAATTAAACCATGAGTAATTTTTTTAGTGTAAGTATGTCCCAAATATTGCAATAGGACATTCTTGTATTAAAATTATTTGTTGGTGGCGCCTGGGTGGCTCAGTCGTTAAGCGTCTGCCTTCAGCTCAGGTCATGATCCCAGAGTCCTGGGATCGAGCCCCGCATTGGGCTCCCTGCTCAGCAGGAGGCCTGCTTCTCCCTCTCCCACCCCCCCTGCTTGTGTTCCCTCTCTCGCTGTGTCTCTCTCTGTCAAATAAACAAAATCTTAAAAAAAAAAAATTATTTGTTGTCGGGCACCTGGGTGGCTCCGCTGTTTAAGCATTGGACTCTTAGTTTAGGCTCAGGTCATGATCCCTGGGTCCTGGGATCAAGCCCCACAGCAGTCTCCTCACTGAGCGAGGAACCTGCTTCCCCTCTCCCTCTCCCTCTGCCCTACCCCCTGCACACACACTCTCTCTCTCTCTCAACTAAATAAATCTTTTAAAAAAAATTTGTTGTTCATATCTGAAATTCAAATTTAAATAGATGCCCTGTGTTTTTAGTTGCTAACTCTGGTAACCCTAGGCCAGTCTCAGTTCCATCCCTTCATCCTCGCTTGGTGGGCTCATCGATTCCCTGGTCCACCAGAAGCTCCCACCCCCAAGCCTTAGTCCACCTCTCCAGCTCCCCTTCTTCTGCCCTAAGATTGGATGCATTTACTTGTGTGGTTTTTGGTTTTGGTTTTTTTTTTAGATTTTTATTTGTTTGAGAAAGAGAGAAAGCTCATAAGCAGGGGGAGAGGGAGAAGCAGGCTCCCCGCTGAGCAAGGAGACAAATGTGGGGCTCGATCCCAGGATCCAGGAATCATGACCTGAGCTGAAGGCAGACGCTTAACCGACCGAGCCACCCAGGTGCCCCTGGATGCACTTACTTGTAATACCTGTTGTGATGAGAACACCTGCACCCACAGGTAAGGGGGATGGGGAGTGAGTGGGATAAACTCCTGGATGTTGTCCCCCCTCACCCAGCCCTTCACCTTGAAATGACTTTGGTCACATAGAGACATGTGTTGGTCCACTGAACCTCCATGCCTGGGGACTTGGTCTGTGGCAGGTGCCAAGCTGCACGCTGGGGACACAGGCAAATTAGACACTGTGTCTGACCTCAAGGGGATCCAGTTTGGTAAATGAAGCTTCTGAGAAACAGAAAAGCACTGAAGTGCTCATAACTGCTCCCCCTGCCCCCCCAGCCACTGCTGGGACAGATGGTGATGAGGAAGGGCATGGTCATCACTTCTTCCTGGGAAGCCAGAGGTCTCCTGGGGGGGGGGGGGGTGACATGTGGCTGCTTCTGTCCTTGTTCTCAGGTCCACTGTATCCATGTACTCGGGCTGCTGGAACAAAGCACCACAGACTGAATGGCTTAAACAATGGAAGAAACTTTCCCCACCATTCTGGAGGCTGGAAGTGGTGTCTTCTTTCAAGGTGTCAGCAGGGTTGGTGTCTTCCCAGGCCTCTGTCCTTGGGGCTGTAGACACCATGGTCATCCCTCTGTGTGTGCCTGTGTCCTGATCTCTTTTCCTTTCTTTTGTTTTTTGTAAAGTAGGCCCTACGCCCAGCATGGAGCCCAATGCAGGGCTTGAACTCATGACCCTGAGATCAAGACCTGAGCTGAGATCAAGAGTTTAACACTTCACCGGCAGAACCACCCAGGCGCCCCCGGATGTCTTCTTAAGAGGACGCCAGTCCTGCTGGATTTGAGCTTGCTCTATGACCTCGTTTTAACTGAATTACCCCTTTAAAGGCCCTATCTCCAAATATAGTCACATTCACTGGTACTGGGGTTAAGACTTCAAATGTGAACGGGGCAGGGGGCACAATTCAGTCCCTAATATCCACCTTCTGCATTCTGATCCAGGTCCCCACTACCCAACCTGGGCTTTATCAGGGGAGAGCCAGGGTCCCTTCTCCCAGGGAGCCTCCTGTCCAGGGACTTCACAACGTGAAGCTCATAGAGGAAGGGCCTTCCACAGGGAAGAGGGAGAGGGAGGGAGGGATGCCTAGGTCCTAATATGTGCTTGACCTGATCATGCTACTGACAATTCCTTGATTTTCATATTGTACTTAGTTGTGGAAGATGATAACATTGGGGGGGCGCCTGGGTGGCTCAGTCGGTTAAGTGTCTGCCTTCAACTCAGGTCACGATCCCAGGGTCCTGGGATGGGGCTCCGAGTCAGGCTCCCTACTCAGGGGGGAGTGTGCTTCTCCCTCTCCCTCTGCCTGCCACTCCCCCTGCTCATCTCTCTCTCTCTCTGACAAATAAATAAAATCTTTTTAAAAAAAGATGATAACATTGGAGGGGGGAGGTTCAAGTCCATGGGATGTCCCTGTACATTTCCCTGCAACCTCCTGTGAGTCTATAGTTCCTTCACAATGAAGTTAAAAGCAAACCAAAATAGATCATCACAAAACGCAACAACAACAATAAACAGGCTGATGATTGTAAATTGCATCTCAGCCCTGACCCTTCCCCATCCATTAGACACCTACTCAGGAATCTATAATGTGCATCTCAAGCTTCACATGCTTCATGCAGAACTATTTCTCACCGCAACCCTGCTTTTCAGCTGTCTAAAGATCATTATGTGGCACAAAGTCCTGACTGCTTCTTCTTTTTTTTTTTTTTTTAATTTATTTATTTGACAGAGAGAGACACAGCGAGAGAGGGAACACAAGCAGGGAGAGTGGGAAAGGGAGAAGCAGGCTTCCCGCAGAGCAGGAAGCCTGATGCGGGGCTCGATCCCAGGACCCTGGGATCATGACCTGAGCCAAAGGCAGATGCTTAACGACTGAGCCACCCAGGCGCCCCCTGACTGCTTCTTTATCTCACTCCATACACAGCCACCCACAAGACCCATCAGTTCAACTTCTTAAGTATTCACAAAGTCTATCCACTTATTCCCATCCCTACTACCATTCCTTACCCTGGTCCAAGATGTCTCAGTCTTAGCACTACTGACATTTTGAGTCAGATCATTCTGGGGGGTGAGGCGGGGTATTGCGGGGCAGGATGTCCAACAGCGGCCCTGGCCTCACTCTTCAGATGCTAGTAGCAGCCGTCGACTCCAGCTGGGACGACTGAAAATGTTCCCGGACATTGCCACCTGTCCCCCGGATGGCAAAATCACCCTTGATGGAGAATGACTGCCCGGATCCAAGCCACCGCCCTCACTCACCTGTAGGACAGCAGTGATCAACTGTCCTCCCTGCTTCTACTCTGCTCCCATCTTGGTGGCTTCTCAACACAGCAGAGAGAGAGAGAGAGAAAGAGAGGGAGAGGGAGAAGCAGGCTCCCCGCTGAGCAGAGAGCCCGATGTGGGGCTCGATCCCAGGACCCTGGGATCATGACCTGAGCCAAAGGCAGATGCTTAACCAGCTGAGCCACCCAGGCGCCCCAGAGTTATTTTCCAAATAGAAATCAAACCAAGTCTCTCTCTTAAACATTTCAGTGGTGTCTTGTTATCTTTGGGAGAAAATCCCAACTGCTCACCATATCTACGATGACCTTCCCAAACTCACTTTGAACCCTCTTTTGCTTTGTTTCTGCATTCTGACAGTGATCGCCCCCAACCCCCACCACCTGATTCTCACCTGCACCAAGTTTATTCCCACCTGGTGGGGGGGGACGTTGATCTTGGGGTTGTGGCTGCCCCTCCCACTGTTCGGAGTTCAGAGTCATCCACAACGTTTTCCCACCCCCACAGCCTTCTGAATGTCCTGTGGCTTCCTGGGCCCCCTCAGAATTTTCCGCCCTTCCTCAGTGTGACCAGATCGCCTCTAACCCTCTCCCAGCCTTGCCCAGACAAGAGCCAGGTGGCTACCGGAGGCCAGGAGAATCTTTTTTGGTTATCCTCGCATCTATCTTCTCTGCCCAAGAATGTTCAGATTTTCTCTGAACTTATTCCTTTAAGACAGACAAACACCCAGCTCTGCAGGCCTCCCCTCTCCACTCACTAACAAATGTTGAACACCTGCTCCTTCTGCCCCTAATGTCAAAACAGGGGCAAAGGTAGATGTTGAGAGGAAGTGAGAATGGGGCGGGAGAGGCTGGGAGCGGAGAGAGAGAGGTAGTTAGTTCAGGATGCTGCCTGGGAAGGGTGCAGGGGTGTGGGCCCGAGGACTGGAGGGATGCATCGCGGGGATGTAGGGAAGGGTCCCGGTGGAGGATGAAGAGTCCAGGTCTGGCTGTAATTGAGGCCCTGAGGGTGCTGAGGAGCCTTTATTAGGGGAAGGGGCATCTTATCGTCCCC